GAATAGCGGTTTGGCCGCAGTTGCTCTCTTCTGAAGTATCTACTATCAGCGGAAGCGAAGCTTCACAGGCTGGCGTTGGAGCCAAATTAGGACTTCTGTCGCGGCCACGGCAACGCCTACCGCTCCTGTCCTCGTCGGTACGACGCCTGCGGCGGCAGCGAAAACTGCAGGAGCCCCTGCAAATAGTCCGCTTGGCGCAAGTACCTGCTGTTGCATTCGAACACCGGTGTAACTGTCATCACCAATAGCAGCAGCATGATCATACCGGCCATGGAAGCTCACGATACTTTTGCTTGTCTGTCAAAGTTATCTGGTTAACTTTATTCGTCGTTTGGCTCTCTGCCACATTAACTGTTCATTCTTACCCTTTTTCTTGGCGAATCCCAGTTCTTGATTGGCATTATGACCGTTAGCGTCATCTAGAACTGATAAATGTCTGGTAATTAATTTTGTTGAAATTCGAATTATTCTAGCAGAGCTCAACACTTCTGCTGTAGTAGCATCAACAAGGAAAAAACAGTGGCGTTATGGCGACGCTTGTGGAGTCGCCGTTTTGGTCACCGTTGTTGTTGTCACAGTCTTCGTTGGCGCCGTCAGTTGCCGAAACTGATTGTGGGGGTCGTTGTGTCGTACTCGAAACATAACTACAGACAAAATATACGCGTTCGCTTGCCACAGAAGCAGCAGGAGCAACAATTAGGCAAAATATAGCCCTCTAGCAGAGTTGTGGATGCGACTTTTGTTTTCCTTCTGAAGCAGTCGTCAGAATCACCACTCGAACGGGATAATGCTTAGCCAAATGACGCTATTGCTAGTATTCTCAACGAACCGCCGTCGAGTACTGAAACGGGACGGCTACGACGACAAGGTAACGAAAAAACAGCAGTAATAGCCAGCACCAGCCTTGAGAAGCTGGATATCTGCATAACATCGATGTCTTTTTCGACTTTGTTCGCGGACTGGCGCCGCTGTCGCACTGACGGCCAACATATCACCACCATAGCAATAATATGATATACAGCCCAATAACGGTACAAACAGCGGGACGACTGTGCCGCCCGTTCCATTATTGTGTTATCCTTGCTGTCGTTGCTGCTGCTGTTACAGTGTTATTGGTGTCATTGTAATCTGCTTTTCTCTTCAGCTAGCTATGACAAACTTAATGCTTTGAGTTTTACGTCTAGTACCGCTATTTTGCATCCCATCCCAGACGGTTGGCTCCTAGCACGAAGCGAAGTGTTCGGGTTTGAACCCAGGCTAAAACCTGTCCCACAAACGCTACCCATTTCAGCATCACGGGGATTTATAACTAGCTAAGTTCGATCTAGCGGTAATAATAGATGAGAGCACATTCTGCCAGTTCTCCCTTTTCGTAGCCAAAGCTCTGACCAGAGCTGGAGGGGTCACCAGCTACGTACGAGAGACCAGTATACGGCCACAACTGCTCGACTATATGTACATACGTCAGTATCATCGAACGAGCCCAAGTCTTTCAAAGGTCTTCATTATCGCCTTTATCGCCGCCAACAGTGGACCTGTTACTGTACAGGTGTCGAAATCGATAGCCGACCTAGCCTTGGCGCTGGCTGCTGCTACCTTATGGAAACTCTTCTTGGCCTTTGCTATAGCTGGCCCGTAATTTTTACGCGTCCTTTTGCTTTGTTTGTTGCGCTCAAGTCGCGATTGCTGCTGCCAGCTAACGTCGCCTGGCTGCGGACGACGTTTGTAGATGTTTCTCGTTTTTCCAATCAAGCAACTTGCAATGACAATAACCGCACAGAGAACCCCGGCCATTCCATCCTTCATCTCTTTGCACCTGCGAATGTCGTAATCGCATGAGCGTCGAGCCAGCATCCAGTAAATAACTACATGATGAATTTGCTCAGACGCGAAGTCACATCTGTATTCAGATATGGATGTGTTGCAAAGCTTCGGAAAGTAGATGTATACATGGACGAGACAGGAATTCAGCGAGCGCATGTATCTGTATTTTTGGATGAAAAAGAAAACCGGGTGACAGAATAGCAAACGGATTAGGGAAGATGGCGCCATTTGTTTTGTCATTCGAATTGCTTTTATGCGAATATAAAAAATAGCATAAAAGGACGAAAAGTAGGCGACTGGATCCGAGCCGCTCGTCATACGTTAGATGGAGCCACTTGCCGGCTGAAATGCTTGCCTTCCAAGCGCCATCTTCCACTTAGCTACAAGATAGCTTTTCAGTCTATTCGAACGAAGAGCGTACAAATCTGGCAATAGTTAGATTAATATAATAGCGGCATCAAATTGTATGAGAATATGTCTGTAGAATGTACGACCTAGAAACGCGTCTATGTGGTAAGTAGAAGTCATCATACCCACCGTGGGCAAGCAAACATTTCCTGGCAAAGAACATTTACCTTTTTGTGATATTTCACAAGATGTTTTCTTGCCAACGGTGGCGTCGCTGTCGGCTTCCTCGGATACTTTTGTTAATAAGATTTCTCTTTAGTGAATTTCCGTACGACAGTTGTTCTAAGATACTCGTCGTAAGCTGTTGGAATTACACGTTCCACAGGAAATTAGACCTGTCAAAAAATGCTCGAAGTTAGCGGGCTGGTTATTTCAAAAATAACGTTACAACGCGAAAAAAACGCGTCAAAAACGTAGGCACGTTCATTCCAAAGTCTCCAGTGACGTTTACTGAATACTATGTCTTTGAAGTTGAACTCTGACAGAATAGTCAGCGTTTTGCCAAAGACTTTAAGAATACAGGAGAATTAGAGGCATGCTCAAAACAAGTGTCATCATTCCTAAATAGGCGCTATGTTGGACGGTAGACAGTCGGTCTTCGAACCAAGATATCAAAGATCTCCAATAAAATCAAAATGTTAACCCCTGTTTGCTGATATCCCATACGATCTAATATGCATTGAAGTAGTAGGCAGGGGCATTTCATTGAGGAAGGAGACCTACTGAACCTGAGCTCAGTTTACCTAGTGTCGCCGCGTCCAGGGCAGAAAATAATCTGATTTTAGAAACCAGTGGCAAATATTATTTTATTCTAGTAATAATTTAGGAGGTAGCACAGTTATTGTATAAACGGAAATTAAAACATTGATTATAGGGGCACGGTACATGTCCAGTAAGCGTTCGAACAGCTTTAAAAAGTTCCAAAAAAAAGTATATCCGAAAAACTTCCCTTTACTGCCCGAAAATGCCCCATATTTGATACAAAAAATAGACAACTCACGAAATTCCTCCAGAGTTTCGACAGATTTTACTAGCCTAGACGCTCGGAGGTGTTGGCAGTGTTATAGGGCAGAACAATTTTTTCGTTTTTTTATTGTCAAATCGTACCATACAAGATGGTGATAATATAGCAACAACGTTCTTACATCACATTGCTTGTTATTATCGTGTGTGAAAGTGCTTAATGTAGTCAGAATTACATAAAATATTTTCATCATTACATAGACCAAGTAGCTTTCTTTGAATTTGGTTATCCAATGTTACGATACAACGACGACAATGGATCCAAACACGTCCAAATTGCTTACCTGCTTACCTGAACTAGAACGTATAAGATTTGGTGTTGATAGCCTATTGCACACCGTCACGGTTGCCTTCACATGACTCGATTGGTCGCCATTGTTATTACTTGTTATTAACGCCAAAACGTTATTACTTGAACAAAGACCTTGAACAAAACGCGCACTCGCACGTCAAAAGTATTACGAAGGATTAATTTATTGCGAGATTATAAAAACTGTGCATGACAAAACAATTTTTATCTATAGATGCCTATGGAATAAATTAATAATATTTATTATAACAGTTTATAGTTTAGATATTGGAAAAAACGGCTGGGTACACTAATTAACGAGGTAATAAAGGCAGTATGCCGGTAAGTTTTCGAGTTGCGTAATTCACTAACCGGAAAATACGTCTTTCATATGGCGACCACTATGGAAAATAGCAATCTACTTTTCCACCGTGATCGATTATAGACGAAACACTGGAGTTCAGTATTTCAGATGCTAGGTAATTGTTCCGTATGGGTTTGAGTTTGTCCGTTAGCACCAAACGATTCTACTTTTATATGGTTACATACATACATACATACGTGAAAACCAAGAAATATTCATTAGTAGGTATTGGACAATATAGAGCTATTGAATAACACATATTGTGGCTCCGGAAACCCAAACAATTTGATTTTTTTTTTGTCTGACTGGTCGAGCAGGTGGGAAGATTCCTGTTGAAACATGTTAAACGTCTTTCCCAATTCTGTCGTATAGATTCAGCCAGCTTTACGGTTCAATAAACGCAATTGTTATTAGCGCAATAGCAAAGATTTTTCTGTGGAAGCCTGATCAATGCCACCTGGTTGCGTTACTTCTACTTCGGTTTCTTTGTTGCAGTATAGGCAATACGCACACCTGCCGAACTAACTTCAGGCTATGGGAAAGGCCGTTGATACGATCAGCTTCTATGCGAAGGAAGGAATCACGTTCGGGATTACTTTGTCGTTACGTATAAGAAAGGATGTTGACCACGGACTAAAATGGAAATAGTAACAGATTCTAAAATCCGAGCATTAATAATATATAGCGGTCCACCTTCATTAAGCTATCAATGGCGGTACTTTTGTGATATAGTGTAAAAGGGAATTTCCCTGTACCATATCAATAGTTCGCATTTGCCAAAAAAATCGTCAGCGTTACGTTGCCTTCTACGCTAGAGATGTTAATGCAGATTGAGTTGGGAACCCATGAGTGCCTTTACGTGACCGATCACTTCTGATCAATAAGTACATACATGTACGCGGCCGGCTCTGAGGTTTACTGAATACGAATAAAAGTCTGCCAACAAAGGTCTGCTGTGAAAATTCAACGTATATTAGACGTTACCTTATACCTATTCAGTTTCTAAACAAGCACGTCCTATACAGCAGTATTTTAATTTTATTATTCTAACATTTGGTTTACTCCCGGGTTTGGCAATGCTGTTGGTTACAGGTGTTCCCCGTGACCATGTCCATGATGGCGACATTTTTATCGGCCATCGCGTTCCTGGGCATCCCTGCTGAAAACTTCGTGTTCGGGTTTCAGTATATACTTGTGGCTGGAGGGGCGATCATTGGAGTGTTTATCGCATCTGAGTTTTTTATGCCCATTTTCTATGATATGGACTCGGTGTCAGTGAATGCGGTAAGTCAGTGCGTTATATATATATAGAAGAAAAACCGCTAGGATACAGGTCGATTTTTTCCAAAAGTATTATTTGACAAATTCTGAATTCATGGATGATACCGTCATCTCGATTTTAAGTAAAACGCTTGCAACTGAAAAACTGATCTCCCTCTTTTGACGTACTATTAAATTAGTAAGATTAATGAAGCTCAACTTAGAGAAAGCTCGAAAGATATTTAATTGGTTTTGCCCTCGCGCGGGCAATCCCATGTTTCCTTTTCAGGCAATGAAGTTTTCTGGGCACAGTGTTGAATGCGCCACAAAGACAGATGTAACTTTGTATTAATTTCTGAATTTTTCGGCAACGGCAGTCAGCAATCACAGCCACCGAGCGATAACAAACGCGAGCAAACTTTTACGCTTTTTGTGTTCGTTCGCGCTACACGCGTTTGGATAGACATAAATTCATCTGAGAAGAGATACATTTTTATATATCCTCAAAATATCATCATCTAATTGCATACTTTAGCGCAACACTGTCGTCCCAGAGTTCGAAGAGCGTTAGTACGTGACGAAGACACTCAATGGTGTATCTATCCTAACAGCATTCTGTCCAAACTGCTCTGCGTACGTTAGAGAAAACCTGCATCCAGCCTGATGCAGCAAAGCGTTATTTCTGTTCGGTACCCCTTGCAGAACAGAAAGGTCTTTGTCTTTCCTCCGTGGTACGAAATATTGATTGCATTAACGGCCAGCATTTGTTGCCGACGGTCGTGTCCGATAGGATCACTTGTGTTTCACTTGTCTTCTCCGATAAACGAACCCGTATAACACTATAGATTTTTAATAACCTACCGCTACCAATTGCGACCGGCGTATGAATCAAATTATACATTTTGGCTTCGGCGGCAAACCACGTGAGCAATCAAATTTTTCGTCTCCCTCCATTTGATGGTATCACTGGCGTGTTAACATTACGAAGACAACACAACAACTCGTGCCCATTGCTACCGCCGCTGTTGTCATTTGTACTGCATTTATTATCATTGTTTTTATAACCGTGGTACACCTCTAATATAGCTGTTTAATTTTCTTATATATATAGACAGAGAGAGAGAGGGAGCTGTGTTGCGCACTTTGAATCGTTTGACAGTTCAAATACGCTTGGCCTATCTGTAGGCCAGACGACGACGAACCGACGAAGCCAACGCCACGCAATATACGATAGGTGATGACAAGGCCGCCCTCCCGAAGGGGAAGGCACCCCTTTCATCTTATCAGTCTTTCGGGGCTTAGTTACCATGCGATATAGGATATAAAAACAATTGTCGTTTAGTGAGCGGGCGAGCAACGGGAGTTCGTCTGCCAATCGTCACCAATAGCATCTGCGGCAATCGGCATGGTCTTCTAGCCAACGATAAAGGTTGAACAGTTATTGTGCAGCTTGACGTTTCGAAAATCTATAATATCTGTTTTTTTTTTTGAAAATGCTCAAAGCCAGAGCCCCAGAATCAAAATACTATGGTTTAATACGATATACTTTATAACTCAAGACCATTTCGTCCCTTGCCAATCTAGCTCGCGGCAGTAGACAAATGGCTACCACGAACCTCGTCTATCTGGTTAATTGGTCAATCGTAAGAATTAAACTTTTGTGACATGTTTTCACCATCACGGCAACCGTGATTATTACGGCGAGATTACGGTAATGACCGCCAATAATCAATAGCTGGAAAAATGCATAAAATAGGAGAAAACGCCTATTTCCGGAAGAGGGGTGCTAATGGAACTATCTACGCATACGCAGCAATCACGATATAATGGCGACCGGAGACAGACTATACGTTATATAGTAAAATAGGTATGTAGAGCCAGATCGGGGGTCCAGTAACTACTGACCGTACGTACTAGCGTATAAGCGACGTTCGATGAAACGCTGAAAGAACTGCCGAAAATGGTTACGTTACGCATTCGTGGAACAGCGTTTAGCAAGAATAGAAGCTTCAGTTTTTGGATTGTAACGATAGAAAATGGCGACTGTTGTCACTTAACGCGAAGATCATACTTGTATTCCGTCTAAACCTGTCTTTCGCGTCGCCGTATGAAACTGTGGCTGACGTAAAGAGACAACATTCAAAAATGTTGAAAATGACGAGATTTACTTAGCTGATACATAGGCTCGTTAACGCTAGATATCAACAGTTGCCATCATCACTAACCGTCATCATTTCGTCTTTTATCGATTCATCCAATTCAGTGAATAAATTATACTATATAATAGTTAAAAAACTAAAAAGCTTAGACTTTCACAAACCGTTTACTTACGTAGGCATAGCTTATCGATATACGTATTTGCTGCAGAAATAAACTATTACTCATTGCTTATTGTGACTAGCTTAGAGCTATTCTTATCTGTTATTGGCCTTCCCATTGAAGGCCTCCATGATAATGCCTGCGATAGAAACATTATTTTTCAGAACGCAACATCACTGCGTTAAAAGTTGTAGCTCTTCTGCTTCGGACGGGCACTAGTAGAAGTGCGTGTGTATTCTCCGAAATGAACAAATAAGCCGATCCACAGTTTTCGATCAGAAATACAACTATAAAAGAAGTCGTGTACAATTGAGATGCCTCAAACACGCTTATAGTTAGATTTAAAAGCAAATCGAATCGCCTCGCTCTGTCCTAGGTCCTAATCGTTCTAGCCGGTTGCACATATTTGTGAACACAGCCGTCCTATTCCCGATTCATAGTTTACAGCACACACACACCTATGTTAACTTCACGCACCAACGATAGACTGACGACCCCACTTCGAGCTCATGGGTGTCAGACAATGACCAAAACAGCCTTATGGAGCCGCGGCTTTTTTAAACACTCTGATTTATTTCCAGCACCTATAATTAGTTGACGGCCCATTCCAATTCGCGCGTATGAATAAACTAACAGATGGAAAAACAAAAGTGACGGTGCATCTTGTCAATGTGTCCGTTAATATTGTACCTGTCCCGGTATATTCTATACGATGGGCATCACGAAAAAGGTCTACTACAGAAAACATTTCACAGCCGCTAATACAAGCCAAGTTATTATCTTGCTGAACCCAAAAGCCCTCTTCTAAAATAATTTCAATACTATTCTTCGTATTTTCAATAGTTACTGTATGTTATGCGCCGAATGTATATACAATAATATGTATATATATATTTGATCCCAGTATTATGTAAGGCGTTGTTGAAAGACCATATGTACATGCTACCTAGATATTTGTTTATATATAGCGGAGTGAATGTAAAACGTAGACGGTTATAGTCGGCCATAATTATGCACACTCGATAATGATATTTTGATTGACGAAGTGGACAACTGTCTGCACGATTCAGTCAGCGGCTGATTTCTGTTACTGTCATTGTGGAACACGTTATACGTAGTCGATTCGGATCGTTCGCCGTTGCAGGAAACGTTGATAAACCGATCATCTCTATTGCATGTAGTGGCTACTTTTCCGGCCAACATGGCAGATGACACTTGTGCATAGAAAAGGTATATGGTGTAAAGGGGCATACGTAGCAGTACTGCGCATATCTGCCTCCAATGACTTTAGGACCTTCAAAGAATACGATTAGACGCTGGGCCAACAACAATTGGTCTGTAAAAGGGAGACGATCAGATCGAGTGAGGCATTAGTAGCGCCCATAGGGTATTGATAATCATAATACAAAGAACTGCACTAATTTCTATGGATGTCGTTTACGTAGCAGTCCGAGTTTTCGGGTACTCGATGCGAGTTACCTTTTACGCCACTGAACTCGTCGAAGGTTAATTTCTCCGCAGCAGATTTGAATTTTACCTGCTTGTGTTACTTTCAACTCGGAATTGAGCTTGTAATGATGTCGATATGAAATTAGCCCGCTTGAACCCTGTGTGTATGCCAGCTTCTCCTCAGGAAATGGAAGGTCATACAAACAAGACGACAACTCGTGAATCAAAATAGATAGAGGCAATTGAAACGCTTGTCTCTCGATTTCTTAATCCCCGAACCACGATTGAGTACACGCGACATTTTCTTACCCAATGTGGGTATTCAGTGTATTCGAATCGTTGAACGATTTTATACGAAACAGGTCTTCGGGGTTCGGCAGGCGCGCTTACTTGGCTCTACACGAAAGAAGAAGTTCGACATGTCAAGGAAGCAGACGAACGATAATTACATATACGTAGCTTTTTGCTAGTCCTCTCAGTCATCTAGAATAATTTTGTCAGCTCTGACACCATTAGACATCAGTATCCATATTGAGTCATTCGATATCGCACTATATCTCCTAAATGCCACTCTCGTAGAGGATGCTATTTTCAAGTTCGTTACTAAATACAACAACAAATCATACTAAACAAATCATATGTATTTAGTGTATCTCTAAAAAGCCTGCACACGTAGGCTTGTCCTGTCAACGACGTATAAATCCCACACAGTTCGTGTTAGTTACGTGAAGTATTCGTATCATCACCTTTTAGTAAAAGAAGTCAGATCTTCATTGAAGTTCGCACAAATGATGCGCGCACGATAAGCGGTCTTGGGCGTCCATCGTGCGCTGTACTACGTTTAGCCCGTTCTACAGTCGAATTTCGCTGTTCGAATCCTCCATGAGTACCAAGCGAAAAGAACCAGTCATTTCATTTAGATATTTTCTCGAAGGCTAGACAAAGTTGATCAGATTTCATTCGTCACGGATAACTTAGTTCATTTAGTACGTCTGAGGACACAATGAAGCATCCACACGACGAACGGGAAAAGATCAGGCGATAGGTTGATAATATATTTTCGCGAAATAACCACAGATCAAATCTGGATACTCGCAACATGTCAATCATGAAAATATAATCAGTGAAGCAGTGTTGCATCTTGTTACTAACTGGGCCGAGTGTGAATGTGACGACCGCTATATTTGTTTGTTGTCAAAATCTCGAGTAAAGCGCGTACGCACGAAAAACGATGAGCGTCGTATCTAAACGTTTCC